GGCTTTATACGTAAGCATCAACACTTTGAAGTTGATGCGGAATCAGATGGGCAGCCAATGCAGTGCGGGCAGAGTGGGTGAAATGTGTTGGAATTTTTTCACTCCACTGAGAAGTCTGGCCGCCGCATTCTGCACCACCTGTAGTTTCCGCAGCAGTCTCAAAGGCAGCCCCACGTAGAGCGAATTACAGTAGTCTAATCTTGAGATTACGAGCGCATGCACCAAAGTGGTGAGCGCCCCAACATCGAGATAGGGCCGCAGCTGGGCTACCCGCCTGAGATGGTAGAAGGCGGTTCGGACCACCGACACCACCTGGGATTCCATAGTGAGCGCCGGGTCAAGATGGATCCCCAAGCTGTGTACCCCATCCTTCACAGGATGAAGGGCACTGTAGTTTTTGATGGCTCAACATCAGATCCCTTTGACATCCAAAGTGGAGTGAAACAGGGCTGTGTCCTCGCGCTGACCTGGTTTGGGATTTTTTTTTGCTGTCATGCTGAAGCACTCCTTTGGAACTGTGCTATAAGGTGTCTATCTCTGGACTAGATCAGATGGAAAGCTCTTTAATTTCTCTAGATTTAAAATGTGCAACTACCAGCTTGCCATGCTATGGTATGAAATTGTACCATAGAATATGAAAAAAGGAAATGCAGGTCATCTGGTGCCATCCTTGAAACTGGCTTCCAAGTAAGTTTATTTAGGCTGAAGTGTAACCAGGAAAATGACTTACAAAGAGCAATCAGTGATCTAACTTTACTGCCTACTAAAGGAGCAATATTCATTAAAGAATAAGAAAGTTTAATTTTGTTTCCTTTACCACCAATGATGGTCCATACTTTAAAAAACTCTATTCTAATCTTTGTTTAAGAACTAATACAAAGTCCATGAATCTTCCTGATCCCATTAAAGGGTACTAAGCAAACAAAGTACTAAAAATTAATAGATAAGAATCTTAAATATTTTTTGAAAAATGAGATACAAAAACATAATCACTCTTCCTCGTAAACAGCAAGCTTTCCACAAAGAGTAGGTAATTTCACTTGTTATATCTAAAATGCAGAGTAATGTGTATTTTAATTGTCCAGGATTTTCATCCCCTTCTTTTCTTTATCATGATTGCTTTTTTAAAAAAAGCAATAATCTCATTAGAAAGACAAGATAAAATTAGCATGGCCCACATTCAAAGACAGGAGATTTCCCAGAAAAGGAGAATTATAATAGGGCTGAACAGCAAGTTCTCAAATGCTATAAATAGCAACGAAACTTTTGAATGGCAAGGGCCAGAATAATTTTACTTGCATATTCTGGCGTAAGGTAAATGGTGAAAATCTCAGTGGCAAATTGCCCCTGCTGTTTACCAGTCATATAACTTGGCATGCAATGAAGAATACAAGCACTGATGCTTTAACAGGGATGGGGTGTTTTGACCAAAGGTCCCAAGGCTCTCAATGGACCCTATGGAGCATTTTGAAAAAGCCACTGGGTGTTGTGAGATGTGGGAAAATCTTCCATTTCCAAAAATTGCCACTGCTAGTGGCAACTATAGGTAATTCAAGACTTCTCTCCTCCAGTCCTGTGGCAAGGGGTGATGGAAACTATCCTTCCATATTCTGGAAGGATATGCTTCTCCAGCCTTTTTTCCAGCTTGCCTCTCTTGGTGTTTGGGGGCAGGGTAGCCATGTTTGTCAAACCAACAAAAGAGTTTTGTGGTGTCTCATCAGTAAGCTTTTGTGGCCTGCAGCCAACTTCATCATGTATCTCATACTAAGTCTTTGTTGTTCTTGATGCTCCTGGTCCAGGAGGGGGAAAGAAAGCTCACTCTGAAAATGTTTGCTGGAAAATCTTTGTGCAGCTGTGCCAATGTACTGTGTGAGCTATTCCTCTTTTCACACAATCCAGCAGAAGTGGTCTCAGTGGATGTCATCTGCAATTGAGTCAGGACAGCAGGGGCGTCAGACTGTTGTCTTTTGTGGTTAAATGCCAAAGATGGAAGATGCAAAGTTGTTCTACATAGCTAACTGAAGGAGCTATAGTTTCTGATGGGCTGATGTTGATTAAATGTAATATTCTTCCATTCTGTATAGCTCTTTACTTCTGTTTTTGGAGTGGGACTAAAGACATCTGAAAAATGGTACAGGATGGGTTTGCGGACTCTGGAAGAAGTAAAGGGTAACAAGAACCTGAAACTAACAAGGATGCAAAGGGCAGGTAAAAAATTCAGTACCCTGGAATCTAGGATAAGTTTTGAAACAGCATTAATTGGAATAGTATGTTTATTGATTAGCAGGCAAATGTGATCTATTCAATCAAATGTGCTTCTTATACATTTATCTGGTATTTAAATAATACAAAATGAAGTAGTATAATTTTGTGTCTAAAAGATCACTGTTTTAATTTCCCATAACAAATAACTTCATTTTTTAAAAAAGAGAAGAATTAAAAAGAGGCTTCCAGTTTATTTTAAATTGAAAATGAGATGTCTCACTTCATCTAAATAAGAATTTTTTTTGGATGTGGGCATCATCATCAAAATAAAATAAATTAGTCACACCACTATTCTTTTGAAAATAGCTCTGAATACTGTTAGTAATTCAGTATTCAGAGGAAAAATGTATAATGCATTTGTTGTGTTTATCTCTATCAGCTTCCTTTTACCAGTCCTTGCTTCCTTCCTAGCTGCCATCTCACTGAAATGTTTATTTTAGTGCTACAGCCAAAACATTACAAATCAAGAAGGGAGAAAAACCCACACAAACACACCAAAATTCAAATCCAACAACCTCCCAAGGCTAGCCTTTAGCTGGAAATCTATCTGGATGTACTTATGCTAAAGGTATTGCCTGTAGAATTTTACAATATTTGTTGATTGTCAGAAAGAATTGTACATAAAACTGCTTATTCTAGTTAGGTTTTCCCAGTAGTTTAGCTCTCTTTTTGCAGATGACACAACAGTGGCTAAAATCCATTTTATTTTCAAATGATACAATTGTGGCTGAAGTCACACAAGAAATATCATTGAATTAGTGGGGATAAGTCACAACTAGAGTAGGCCCATTTGAATCAATGGACCCTATGGAGCGTTTGACTCATCAAATCCCCACTGATTCAGTCGGCCTATCCTAATTCATTTTACTAGATGAGTTAAGATTACTACACTTTCAGTCAGTGTATGCTTGTTGTAGATCTTCAGTTCCTGTTTGGCTTTATAAAAAAAAGCCTTGCTGGAACAAGTAAATTTAAGCTAAAAGTTGAAACCAAAAACAAAAATTTAATGAATTTATAATTCAAAACATTTGCCTAGTTCATATAGGAACTATTTACCCTATCTGAATATGCTCTGGGTGTATCCAGGGACATGTAAGGAGTGGCTTCACCTCACCAGCTCTCCTCCTTCATGAACATTTCTAATGTACCATATATAGGGAGAGCTATAAGCCTAAAGGTAAGAGCTTCTGCTGGCCATGTAGGCTCTGCATCAGTTAGGCATCTGGAAAAAGAGGATTCCGATTCATGTGGAGGAGCTTCATGGACATAGGATGCTCCCTCCTTCAGACTTTTGAACCTTCCATGTGTACCAGAGTGAAAGCCACTGAAGATGGTGCAGTGGGCTACAACTGTCCTCCTCTTTGCATGTTGCTAAAAATGCTCAGGAAACATGTCAACACAAAGAATTCCCTGGGAGCATTCCATTTGATTTGGAAATGGGAGAAAGGTTAGTTCATGTTCAACACCAGTCTTCTACCCATCTGTGTATCAGCCCTTTGGCTGCAGGCTTAGAGATTGCTGGGATTCCTACTTGCTTGTATTTAGTCCCTTTCTCCTAGACGATATAAAAAAGGCAACATAGTCTTTAATCCCCATCTTGCTTTTTCTGTTGTACATGACTACTGATGTGGGAGACTCTCCCTGTTTCTGGTGTCTATGTCAGTGGAATGGCCACATTTATGTTCCTATTTTAACTTAAGCAGACACACACTGAAAATAACTTTCTTCTTTCACACACGCATGCACGCACGCACGCACACACACACACACACACACACACACACACATTGTATTGGGAAAGACTTCATTATTCTGTTTGACAGTCTGATGAGCCACAGCTATTTCATACTCACATATTTATGTATCTATTTATTTATGCATTTATTTATTAATATATATACCACATGTTAGGGTAAAAAATATATCTGCAAAGCAGTTTATAATTAGAGTAATCATTCTAAATGTAATCAGAAAAAGGAAAAGAACAAAGCCAAAAGCAATTCAAGCAAATCACTCTAAAACACACTAGAAGAAGACTGGGGGGGGGGAGAAACCCACATTCTTTCTTTTGGGCCATTTACTGGCATTCAAAAGAATGACTAGTTTCCCTAAAATGCCACAACAGAATAAACAAACAAACAAACAAACAAAAGTTGTAAGCCAAAAAGTTACTTTCCTAAGCTTTGCAACAAGACGGCTTGTTTTCCCACCACCGCAGAGAGATTAAGGGCACTGGCAGATTTTCCTGCTTTCTGTATTTTGGGGAGGGTGACTCACTGCGAAGAGTGAGGTTCGCAGCTTGGGAATTCATCTGGACCAGGCACTTAACATGGAATCCCAGGTGGCGTCCGTGGTCCAATCTGCCTATTTCCATCTGTGGCGGATTGCCCAGCTGCGTCCCTATCTAGATGGGGGGGGGTCACTCACTACTCTGGTCCATGCGCTCGTAATCTCAAGGTTAGATCACTGCAATGCTCTCTATGTGGGGCTACCTTTGAGATTAATGCGGAAACTCCAAATGATGCAGAATGTGGCAGCCAGACTCCTTAGTGGGGTGAGAAAACATAATCATATCTCCCCCACCCTGGCCGCCTTATATTGGCTGCGCGTTCGGTTCCATGTTGATTTCAAAGTTCTAATGCTTACGTATAAAGCCCTAAATGGTTTAGGGCCTCGATATCTGACGGAACGCCTACTCCCACCCAAATCTACTCATATCACTCGATCTAGCCAGGAGGTGAGGCTGAGGAGCCTAACGCCAAGGGAGGCCCGGAAGGAAAAACAAGAAACCGGGCATTCTTGGCAGTGATTCCTTGCCTTTGGAATAGCCTTCCTTCTGGGATTCGTATGGCCCCTTCGCTGGGCATTTTCAAAGGCCAACTGAAAACCTGGCTATTTCGGCAAGCCTTCCCTCCAGCCACCTCTTGATTTATTTTGTTCTTTCATCTTGAGTCCTTGTCTATTGATGTATTATTTGTTTTATATTTTAAATGGTTTATTTTATATGTTGTTAGCTGCCCAGAGTAGTCAGTTGACTAAATGGGCGGGGTATAAATTCAATCAATCAATCAATCAATCAATCAATCAATCAATCAATCAACCAATCAATCAATCAATCAATCAATCAATCAATCAATCAATCAATCAATCAATCAATCAATCAATCAATCAATACATTTTCACATAATTTATATCAAAATATCTGACTTTCAGTTGAAAAACACCATTCATTTAGTTTAGAGGTAAACCATGTTTGGTTGTAGGGCCTCATGAATCCCTCATCCTCATTTCAAAAGCCCTCTGGAAGTAATCTCTTCAGCTACCTGGGAAGAGTATTCTTCTCTTAGTTGTGGATGCAGTGGTAGGAAGTGAAATTAGAAAGAATATTTTCACTTTAGGTTCTGGCCTTGCCCACTGTAGGTTGGTGTGTGGCCCTTGATGGATTTTCCATGAAGGAATGCAATCCTCATAGAAAAAACTTAACTAATCCTGAAATAATAGTGTGATGTAGTGGACAGAGAGATAGACTAGGAATCAGGATACCTGAGTTTATATTGCCCCTTGACACAGAAAATCTTTGGGAAGCGGTAATGGTGGGACATAGCATCACACTTAATCCTGAGTGAAAATAACCAAAGATCAAAATCTCATTGAGTTTCAACATCACTTAGGACACATTCCTGATCATAGTATCACATCCTTTTGAGAAACTTGGGAGTGTCTGGATGTACATATTAATTATCTCATTTGAAAAATGTCAGTATGTTCACAAATTCCTGATCTGTGGTCAAGTGGTTGGCTTTATTTATTGTGAGTGAAGTTTAATCAAAGTTACCTGTTAATGTTAGGGTATATATGTGATTTGGAGAATTGTGGGGAATGTATTTACTATTTGTAATATGGTCGATTGTCTTTTTATTCTTTAGAAATGAAATTAATTAATTATTTTTTTCCCCAAAATCTGTTAATGTTAATACATTTCTGGGGTGTTTTATTATGATCACTATTCCTTGTATGATAGCTAATTTACAGCTAGATTGCAAACGAAAGCTGACAATGATTTGAGCAACCTCCAATTACTGTGTATGTTGCAGCTACAAGTTGAACTTTGGTCTCCTTAGTTTTTAAGTCCGGGATATTGTCCACTAGAGTACCTTATTATACAAAATGAATAATATGAAATTACATTTTAGGCCTATTACACTATGAAGACCTTATTAGCTATGTATCTAAGGCAGAAGCAGAATCAGCGAGCCAGATTCTTAAGGAGACTGTGTGGAAATTTTCCCCAAGTGCCTTGGTTACGTTGACTGGTGGTTTTAGGAGGTAAGTATAGTAAATCATGGGTCTCTGGGCAATATTTGAATTATGCCAGTTTATTTATAAAGCACACTATATTTAGCAGCCATGGCTTGTAATTGTTGCTGTTGTTTTACTTGTTTCTTTGGGCTAGAAGAATACTAAATACTTGGAATACTAAATAGCCGCCTAGACTGGTTGTTTAACTAGATAGGCAGGGTATAAATGTAATAAATAAATAAATACTTCTCAGGGATTTAGTGGTTAAGCCTAGACTGGTTGTTTAACTAGATAGGCAAGGTATAAATGTAATAATAAATAAATACTTCTCAGAATGAGAACATAGGGATTTAGTGGTTACATTTTCCTACAATAAGCAGCAGGTATAACAAGCAAATTTTCTACATTCTTCTGTTGCTGGGTTGGATTTGCTCCTACTGCTCCAGAGCAGCAGACACAAGATCAGAATCTGGAAGCAGATTTCCGTAGCTTCTGGACTACGACTCCCATGGCTATGCTGTCTGTGAATTCTAGGAATTGTAGTCCAAGAACATAATGTTTCCAAAGGCAGGGCTAGACAGATTGATAGCAACTAGCATTCTCAAAGCAGCACCAAAGGCTGGACTGATTTCTATGACAGTGAGGGCACATGTTAAATCACATGGATATTTCTTCCTTTTACATCATTATCTTTTTAGTGTTTCATGTCTAAGATCTCAGGCATGCAAATTAAGTTCTGCTGTCTTAGAGCTGACCAGTTGAAGAACATATTACAGGCTAACTGCAGATTGAAGCAAACTCATTTTAGAATAAACAGGCAGTTTTTTTTCCTCTGAGGGGTGAACTGATTCAGAATTAGTGGCTGGAATCCTACTGGTGTTTGTGTGATGTTTTTATAATTTGATGTGGCTAATTGCAGCTAATTAATGAGGTGTCAAGGCACTGAGCTCTGGCACCATGTAAATTAGTTGCAATTAGCTATGACAAGTTACATAAACCTTACAGAACATGAAGACAATAAGATTCTGACCAGTATCTTGTCTACTGTCTGAGCTCTCTGTAGAAGCAGAAATTACTAGACAGCAGATATCATGCTTTGAATACATCATGAGTAGAGATGGGCAGGAACCAAACTACAAACCAAAAAACCCCCACAAACTCAACTGGGTGGAAGCATTAGGTTCCCCTTCCCCAGGGAGAGGGGGCGGAGGCTTTAGGTTATCCTCCCCCAGGCACAATCTAAAAAAAAACAACCCAACAAAGCATGAACTAGTTTGTTTTCCCATGTTTTGTGAGTAGTTCGTGGTTAGCCATGAACCACCCTCATTTGTCATTGTGGCGATTTCCTCTGAAGCCCCTATTCCCTCAGGCTTTCACGAGGTTCTCACCCTTCTTCTTTCTTCGCTGCCACCAGGTACTGCTGCTTCAATGCCATTTAATCAATAAGCCATATGTGCTTTTAAAACTCAAGTCATTTATTAGATCAGGAAAGTTAATATAGGATTAATATTCAATAGGTAATTCACAGATTGCTAATCACTCGTATTTGAATCAATTCTACTTTAACCTTAAAACTCTAATAACTCTTTGTTCCATTCAGCATTCTTACAGATCTCTAACTCACTCTTAGTTCACTTTTAAGTTTCACACTGTCTCTCACTACCAGAATCTCTCCTCATCCTCCATACACCAGCCTTTATATCCAGCCCCCTCCCCCCTTGGCTCCGCCTTCCATCCTCTCATTGGCTTCTTCTTCACTGTTCTACTGTGACGGACAGGTGAGGGCAGGGCTGCTCGTTACAGTCATTTTTTCCAGTTTGTGCCCATCTCCAATCATGAGGACGATGTACTATAAAAGACAATAATGCTGAGAAATGTTGAAAATCAAATATGAATTGGATTGATTCTAAAAAGGAAGGCATGGCCTGGAGTCTGCAGGAAGTGAATAGGGCTTCTGATGATAAGAATTTCTGGTGGACACTAATTCATAAGGACACCATAAGTTAGAAGCAACTTGACAGTGCACCACCACCACAACAGCAGCTTGCCTAGTGAGACTGATGCTATTACTTCAGAGTTATATTTTCCTTAGAAATGAATAGGATTCTTAGGATTGCTCTTCTGTTTCACAAATGTTTCCGAACAGCTTTCTTGATAATAAGGGAATACAGGTACTACTTATGGCCTCATCACCTCAAAAGTAACAAATCTTAGGGTAAGTCATCTGATGTTCAACGTAGCCCATTTTAGTTATTCACAGTAAAGCAAATGTGTGGATCCTTGTTTACTAGTTGCGTTAGAAAAAGAGATGTCTTTTCTCTAAGTCTGCTGTCTTATCAGAGAGAGTCATGATTGCTGTTTGTTTCTCTGTTATGTATGTTTTGAAGTACATTGACATAAAGAGAAGCATGCATTACTCATCCAGCTTTGTTCCCCAAGGTTCTTACGCATGCTGTGTCAACGAAATGTGACAGTAGAAGTTAAGATTATTCTCAGCAGTCAGTTCACCTCATGTGTTGCAATTGTGCCTTACCTTAAGGTGAATCTGTTTCTTCGATTTGCCAGAATTGAAGTAGAACTAAGTGTTTATCAGACTTCTGAAATTCATGTTTGGAAGTTGTTCAGTCGTGCCACCAACCTGTGATCTGTGCCCCTGGTGAAGGACATTAGATTTGATGTTTATTACTGTCCAGTAAGGAGTATGTGAATAGACTATACATCTTGCCAAAATCAGTGGTGTTGGATATAATGCCTACTTTGGTTTAAGCTTCTCATATACTGCAAATTTTCTTCTGAGGTCCCCTTTATGTAAAAAGACAGGCAGAGATTTCATGAGATAAAATAAAACAAGACTGTTTCTTCAGTTGTAGGACATTTTCTGTTAAAGAAAGATAACTATGTCCTCAGCAGTCACTTGACACGTATTGTTTTACCATAGAAATATACTTTTCATAGGAAGGTGCCCAATACTGAATGACACCTTTTTGTTGACTCTGACTGATAATAGGAACTGTTTGGGGTTTGACGGAGTATTTTTTCCCCCCTGGAAAGGAACCCTGCATGAAAAGACTGCCACCAAGCTTCCATCCTTCCTTCTCAAATGCACCAGCTTTCTGGTCACACTATTAAGTTAAGAAGCAATAACATTTTTCAACTGGAGTGGGAGCAATTTCTAATAACTTCTGCTTTGTGCTGTCATCATTGGAATGAAGCTGGCTTTCAGTGGCCTGGAGCAAAGTGCAGACCATGTGACTCTAGGGGACATAGTAACAGGTCAGCTTCTCTCATAACAAGGCAAGTGAGATATTAAATGCAGATCTGTGGATTGCAAATGACACCACCAAGAGAGATTTACATCAAAAGATTTTGCCTTAACTGCATTGAGCATAACAGCTTGAGGTATGAACAGAAAGCAAAGAACTTCAGAAATATGTGGTATAGTTCTCTGAGAGCTGAACCATTTCAGAACTCTGCAGGCATGGTATTACATGTTTCTATAGAGCTCTGTGGGATTTAATGCATGGTAAGTGTGCTTAGGATCACAAGATAAGGCATTCCAAAGCTTTAATCTGAGAATAAACACCACTAAATTTAGTGCCTTTCCCTTCTAAGCAAACACAGCTGGATCAAGCTGCTTGGAGTTGTTTTCTTGTTGTGTGCTTCTGCTTTGTTTTGCCAGTGGTATGATCCCTTGGGAATAAACTGTTGGAGGCTACATGTGCTTTGCACATGTTGCCCATACTGGCATCGCCGGGGGAAGAAGCTAGAGCCTTTTGGAAGAGTTAGGTTTTTGACATACAACACCCCCTCTTCAAGAATCCCCTAGCCAGCTTGACTGATGACTGTTTCCTAGGGAATTCTGGAAGCTGTAGTCCTTAGAAAAGTCATTCTCCTGAATTCTGGAAGAATCCAGCTAAATTATGAACATCTCTTTTTCATTCTGTAAGACTTTTAGATTTTCTGCTCTGCCGCACCAGGTTTGGAAAAGATAAAAATGCCTTTCAGCAATCACACTTGCATCTGAGTGGTTTTTCAGAAACAACTTGCAGAAAATTTTGGGTAAATTTAGAACAGCTGTGATAAAAGACTAAATATATCTCCTCCTTTTTCACCCACACTGTCAGTGGCAATGCATTTTGTGTACTTAGTAAGGCTATTGACAGAACACTTTATGGAGATAAGTAGCAATCATGGTGTTAAGTATGAGCACACAATATTATATCTGTCTGTACTGGTGATTGCATTTTACCTAGTGCTTCAATAATATAGGGAAGCTGGTTGGGTAGCTCAGTGGTTTAGGCGTCTGGCTGTGGAGTCAAAGGTGGAGAGTTCAGTTCCCAGAAGACCCAGTCTTACAGCCTTGAGCAAGCTGTAGAGTCCCAGAGTGATCCAGAAGAAGGGAACCTTTGAGTACAGTACTTTTTATCATTGATTTGGCAGTACACAATTATTAATAATATGATAATGTTAAACCAGAATGAAAGCAAAATATTCCACAGTCATTTTGCAAGAGGCACTTACTGAGCTTTTATTTATTTATTTTTAAGGGCCCTTCTCTTTCAACATGCTTCTGAAACTAGAATATTCTCCATTTTTTGAAGTAGTTTTGTGAGATATATATTTTACTTATAATGCGCAAATAGTCACCTTTTTCTTTGATTCTGAACATCACTGTTTCTGCTGGCTACTGGTTCTCCATCATTATTACTTCTGGTTTCTACTTTCTTCCATATTCTTGGTTTCATCTCACTGATAACTGAATCTAATCAGGGTTTACATAATGAACGTGCTCATTTGGCTATGTAATGCTGCCACTGAGTGCAAAGGAGGTCAATTAAGATGGGAAGTGGTGGCAATGTGTAATGAATGATCAAATGTTTCTGCAACAAGTACTAGTGACATGTTGGGTGGGGAAGGAGTCATTTCTAGATAGCGAATAATATCCACAAAACTTCTGGATATTTTTGATTCAACTCTATTAGATTTAGGAAATACAATTAAAAGTGAAGAGTCGATTCTGGGAAGAT